AATGTGGTTTTATTATTCCACCGCGCGAAGAGAACGAGAGGGGGGGGAGGGGGGGGGGGGGGGCATCAAGAAAATATAGCCAGCAGATTTAAAGAGACTAAGTACTAAGCAGAGCTGTAGACTTGAGACTGGAGGACTCTGAACGTGGACGAGACTTGACTCACATGAGACTTGACTCTAAAGACGAGACTTGAAAACATTCAAGTGTCAGGTTCTGGTAATAAGATAAATAGGAACATGAATAACAGCGCTAGGCAGGTCTTGCATTGCCTCACATCTTGAACATCCATTGGAAGGGATTAGGTTCAGCTATGTAAAACAAAGCTTTGAATGGAAAATGTTCAAATGCTGTGTCATTGGCATGGTGAGCACTTTGCCATGAAGACTTGAGACTTAACGTGTCTCGGTTGACTTTAGGTTTGACCCTAGACCTGCTTTGACAATACTGTAGGACTTGACTTGGACCTGTCTCATTTGGTTCTGACTTGAAACCTCCATTGACAACTTCTAAATTATTAATAAATTGCACTTATATAGCGCTTTTCTATCGCACTTTGGAATTTGCCGCCCAATCACACACACACTGATGGCGGCAGAGCAGCCATGTGGCGAGGACACTTTGACAGGTTGACAGAGGGAGCCGGGGATCAAACCACCAACCCTGCGACTAGTGCACAAGCCGCTGAATTGAGTTGGACTTGTCTCATTTGGTTTGTGACCCAACTTGAGACCTGCTTTGACAAAACTTTGGCTCTTGACTTGGGCGTGTCTCGGTTGATTTTCGAATTAATTTAGGATTTGTTTTGACTTATTTGAGACTTGACTTGGGACGTGCTTGGACTACACTTGAGATTTGACTTTAAACTGAAATTAACTTGACTTGGACTTGTCTGGATTGACTTGACAGTTGACTGAAGATTAGCTATGACAAGGCTTTGTAAATCAACTTGGACTTGTCTCGATTGACTTTAGACGTTACATGAGACCTGCTTTGACATAACTTGAGTCTCGACTTGTCTTGATTAACTTGAGACTTGACCTGAACTTAATCAAAGACTTGGAGACTTGAGACCTGCTTTGTCGAGACCTCACACTTGAATTGCGCTCGTATCTATTCAGGCTATTCTCATACACCGTCCGTAGCTATAACTACAAAAAAGTAATGCACTTTACATCCGACAAAATCAATTTGTATTTATTTCACCTAATCCCAAACTAGGAAGTATACAGAGCGACAAACGCTGCGCGACTAGAAGTCACAACGTTGATGTATTTACCCCTTACCTAAGTCGTAGCAGTAGTGGCTTTGTTGACTAAGCCAGACCACAATCTTTTCATAAACCTAACAAAGTTGTTTCCTGTGAAGAAAGAAGTTTATTTTGAAAAGAATGCATGTATGTGACAAGAGGAAATTGACACATGTTGCTGGACATTTGTATGAAAACACTCAAAAAATGAGGAATTACTTTTCATAAGTTATCTTACGAACCGCTGATCTATTGATCTTAAACTTGACCTGGACTAGCGTCAATTGATTTAACACTTGGACTTGGACTTCTTCCAAAGGACATACAAACAGAATACATTACATTACATTGCAATACAATCCTCCCGTGTGATCCGTCAGGCATGTTGGTAACGAAGAAAGGGCCAGAGTGGAGCTGGAACAGAAGAGAACTGCACATGAAAAGCAAACTAATTTTAGGGAAATGTTTCACAATCGAATGGTTGGTTTGCAAATCATGTTCTGCTGCCGCTCCTGTCACGGTGACTGAACATGTGAAATGTTTAGAGAACGCTTGTTTGGGTCTGTTTTCTCTTCCCTTTGCCCCCTCCCACACTCTCTCTCTCTCTCTCTCTCTCTCTCTCCCTCTCTCTTTCCCTCTCCTGGCCTGGCTCGCTTTGAGTCAGGACTGGCACTTAATGGAACACTGCCCAGATAGCTAAGTGTGTCTCTGTGTGCGTCTGAGTTTACACACAGTTTAAAGAGGGCGAAACATCAGAGAAATGTGACAGACGTTGGCAGTGGGCATCAAAGCTTCTTATCGGGGAATGTTCCCCAAAGCCGGAGGCCCCCAGGGACCGCGCAGCAGTCAACAATACAGCAGAGATAGCTCTGCGATACGGGCCGACGTTAATGCCGCCCCTTCAACGGTCTGTGTGTATGTTTGGTTCCAGACGACTGGAGCAGAACGCCATCAAGGTGATCCCAGCCGGAGCCTTCTCTTCTTATAAGAAGCTGCGCAGGATGTGAGTAGACGAGGAGTACCGTGCACCCTGTCAACCATCCACAAAGACTTCTGTTTCCATCCCGTTTGTATTGACCTCTTACACTTGTCTCTCTCTCTACCTCGCTCACTTCTTCTTTTTCTTTGGCTCCGCTCTTCACAGAGACTTGAGCAACAACCAGATATCAGAGTTGGCCTCGGACGCCTTCCAAGGTCTGCGCTCCCTCAACTCCCTGTGAGTACTGCGTGATATGTTTGTATTTCAGATCCGGTTTGCACAAAAAACACAAACACACTATGGCCCTTTGAGTCTCACGGGGAATATCTACCGTTAAGCCATCCATTCTATCTGACATGTTAACTTTGTACTTGGTACTTTGGATCCAGGAACACAATAACATCGCCACAACAAAGCGAGCAAGAAGCGAAAGACATGTTTTATACAAGCCTGGCAGTTTGGCCAAATATTCTTAACAACTTTATTTCAGGGAGAAAACAAAAGTGAGCAGGTCTGAAATGATCCCTCATTGCACAGGAAAATCCCGTCAAGTTTGTCAAGTTGAACCAGGAAGTTCTGGAATACTCTGTATTTAAAGAGTTTAGATGATGCTGTTTTATTAGCATGTTATTAACTATTTACCAGGCGGCAACCTCCGGCTCTAAAAAATGAAGACAATGCTGAAGTGCCTTAAACTTGCATTCTCTCTACTGGCCATCAGGGGGCGACTGCTCTGGTTGCAAAAAGCATTCTGATTGTATTGAAATCTATGACAAAATGACTCTACTTGTCTCTTGATTTATTACTCTGTAAACATTGTGAACACGTGTTTATGGTCTCAATCTCTAGTTTCAAGTCTTCTTCAATACAGCATGATGTTCATTTAGTAAATTATGGTCCAAAAATCCTTACATCATAATTTAGGCTAATGTTAATGTTAGCTGAAAGTAACCAAGCGACCCTCAGCGAAGGGTCAGTTCTAATAATAATAATTTTGCCCTTTTCTGTTTCATAGGTTTGGCTTATGTGGGGGTTTGTTTTTGAATTTGCTATGTTTCTTGCACTATTGGACTTTTATCTTATTATTATGGCAAGAAATATTTGCAAAATCTAACAGCAGAAATCCCAAATTACACGTAGCTTCACATTTGCAAGATGATAAAGACATTTTCAACACGTCTTTGAGGAGAACTGTCGGCCTCCTCCCAGGCCGGAGCAGCTGCTTTGCGTGTGAATCTCTGGGAAGGAAGACGGCGAGAGGAGGAGCAGGAGAGGGAGCAAGGGAGGCAGAGTTATTTCACGCAGGAGTTATATTAAGGTCCCGTCTCTCCAAAGTCAATAATTCATAAATGCCGAATTGCTGAATGGAGGCTCCTGCCACCTCATTACACATTCGCCACTGAGAGAATGGGACACACGTCCATGCTGACACACAGAATGCGCTGCGGCTTGCGCGTTAAACTGCGCTGGGTGTTCACCGTGTGTCAGGGTTTGGTTAGATAAGGTCGTAAATGAGCAATCCATTCTGTCCCTGTGTGTGTGTGTGTGTGTGTGTGTGCACGAAATAGTATGTGCTAATGCACGTGTGGGACGTAAATGAAGCGTCCACTCTACCGCATCCCAGCCTCAGGTCTCTCAGGGACGGCCACTCAGCACAATGAAGTAAAAAAAAGTCAATCTGAAACACATGTCTTTAGGCTGCCTACATACACAGCTCAACTCAGCGTGGAGCGTGAAGATGACTGATTGCTCTCCAAGCGTGTGTGTGTGTGTGTGTGTGTGTGTGTGTGTGTGTGTGTTTGTGTGCATCTGAGGTATTCGATGGGCAAGGCAGTGGCAGTGTCAGCCCGGACCTGTTTTGTGTATGCGATCTGATGTATTTATAAAAGGCTTCACTCTGATAGCAGCATACTCAACTCCCACCAGAGCCAGATTTATAGAGGAGTTTTTTTATTGTGACATTTAGATGAAGACTGTTCATAACCAGTTGTACTTTATGTCCGTAGTGTTCACACACAGCCAGGTGAGAGAGAAGTTTTGTTGCTGTTTTAACTTGGAACCCGCCAAAAAAGAATCAAATCATTCTTTATTAAGGTCTTATCATTTCAGGTCTTTATGTTTTTCTTTTGGATGTTTCTGTGTCATCTTCAGTAAAAAGCCATTCAATAAAGACTTATTCACACAAAATACCCGGTGGCAATCGAGGGGGGGTGGGAGGGCCTACACAGATACACTAATACGCAATATTCAACATTTCATGGATGCAAGCCAAGGCAACGAGGCTGTACACACTTTGCACACACATCGCTGAGGCTAATATCTTTAACAATAAGGCCACTGACACAACTGCACAACTATACCCTGCAACATAACACACTCGCCTCTCCCTCACTAACAGGACACACATGCACGTGCTCGAACCCGACACACACGCCTTGGCTCGGCTTCCTCTCGTTGATGTCCTGTTATCCAAGAAGGGGAGAGACGATGTCCTGCTTAAATCCAGGTTCTCACGAGAGGCACTGGATCAAATTTGTCCAAAGGGGTTTCATTTAGGTCCACACCATGACTGTGTATAAAAAGTGGACGTACTCATTGTGACGTCACCCATTGGTTTGTGGACTGTTGTTTTGAGCACTTGAGTATGGCGATTTTGCCGTGGCCATCTTGGATTCCGGCCGTTGCCATGGTGTTTTTTTTGCAACCAATGAACAGAAGTTACCATATTTGGAATGCGGAGGAGTGACGTAGAGACGCAGTATACGGCTCTGGTAGCGGCAGAGACCTGTCAATCACAGTTTGCCCGCCCTAAAGCATACTCTGCTTTATGGTCTATTTGACTCTAAATGGACCATCATTTACTAAATGAACATCATGCTGTGTTGAAGAAGACTTGAAACTAGAGATTGAGACCATAAACCAAATAAGACCAAATAACTGTGTTAGGATTTTAGAGCCTTAAGAAGTTTTTCTATTGAGGCTTTCAGGGGGTCTAAAGTGTCAAATCAAGTCTGCAGAAGAGACATATTTGGTGAAACCAGAACAATCTATTAGAGTTAATAATCAGATGTAACTGCTCCAGATTTGCCAAAGGTTTGGACACTTTTGAGGTTCTGGAAGTGGGGGATATTGCAGCTGACAGACATTCCTCAATTCCGACATTTAGATTTACAGCGTTTGTTCCCCACAGGCCAACATGAACGCAGCATTCACTGGCTCACTGTCAAAGATCTATTTGGAGCTGCGGTTTTTTTCTTAGCACTAAATAAATATTGATTTCATGTTTGATAAAAGGTTCGTAAATGTTCCCATCGGAAACAGACGCTAGTGGAACAGAAGGTAGTGGGGACTTGGTTTGGCTCTCTACGCAGTACACGCAGAGTGTTAATATTGATAGCATTACTGGATGATACGTGTGGTATTCATAACTTATTAATGCAGTGTTTGTGCTCCACAGGGTGCTGTATGGGAATAAGATCACTGAGATTTCCAAGGCACTGTTTGAGGGACTGTTTTCTCTGCAGCTATTGTAAGTAGACACACACACACACACACAAAGTTGGAGTTGCAGCTGAGAGCTCCCAATCGTTGATATTCTGCTGAAAAGTGCTTTTACTAAAGCATTGTCACCGGAGTGGAGAGACATCGTGATTGAAAGCCATGACCTGTAACATTTCCTCTGTTCTGTCTCTTTCAGGTTACTGAATGCTAATAAGATAGCGTGCCTGCGTGTGGACGCATTTCAGGACCTCCACAACCTCAATCTGCTCTCACTCTATGACAACAAGCTCCAGACCATCGCCAAGGGGACCTTCTCGTCGCTTAGAGCCATACAAACACTGTAAGTGTACACACACACACATACCCACACTCAAGAACTTTGGTTGTTCTGACAACTTACTTGTGTGTTTTTTGTTTGCTCCATGTGTCCATGTCTGTGTGTGTGTGTGTGTGTGTGTGTGTGTGTCAGTCACTTAGCCCAAAACCCGTTCATCTGCGACTGCCACCTGAAGTGGCTGGCAGACTACCTGCAGGACAATCCCATCGAGACGAGCGGCGCCCGCTGCACCAGCCCCCGGCGGCTCGCCAACAAACGCATCGGACAGATCAAGAGCAAGAAGTTTCGCTGCTCAGGTAGAGAAACCCCGGCATGTGAACCGTGAACACATTGATCTTTGATGATTTCTGTTACCAATCGTTCGCACGCGCACAGACTCCGAGGACGTCACATCCAAATTTTTCCAAGTTCTCATTTTGTGTCTTCCTGCTGGGATTTTCCCTCAGCCTCTCTTTACTAACCTCAGCATTCTCTCTCTCTCCCTCATTTGACCACACACACACACACACACACACACACACACACACACACACACACACAGTGAGTACTCGATTTTGGCCTTTTGTTATTTTGTTGTTTTTCAATTTTACTCTCTCTGTCTCTGTCTCTCCATTAGCTAGAGAACAGTATTTCTTCCCAGGTATTGTACATCGAGCATGTGTGTGTTTGTGTGTGTGTGTGTGTGTGTGTGTGTGTGTGTGTGTGTTAGACACCGTGTGGTCCATCACGGCGGATGCTGCACACTCGCACACTCCCGACACCAGTGTGAGTGAGTGGCTTTGCTTTGACTGACACCTTGGCATGACAAGTTCTTCACACTAATCACACTCTTGTCCTTGCACCAGGGGTTTATTTGTCTATGGTAACCGTAACCTTAATGATAGAGGGTGAAAAACAATCGGATTAATAAGGCCACTCCACGTGAGACTCCATAAAGACCAGGCTAGAGATTTAGAGACTTTATAACCGAAAGTATATTTGAAGTGCGATCACAGACACCAGTCTTCCTCACTTCTTACCACGTCTAATGACAGCTAACATACGAGCGCATGTGTCATCCAGCATCTGCGTCTGTTTTGCCCACCGCAGAACATCAAAAGGTCACGCAGTTGCCACGCTCAGAGGGGCGCTGGGTAATATGTAAATCAGTCGTGCATACGAGATCAGTAGCAGGGCTGAAGGCGGTCATTACCACAGCAGCATGCGGAGGAGGCACCGTGTGTGTGTGTTGGACGAGAGCGATCGTGTGTGTGTGTGTGTGTGTGTGTGTGTGCTAACTGCAGTATTTAACTCACCGGGGGGTTGGACAGAGGTTTCAAAGCACCAGATAGCACAAACGCGGCGCAGCTGAATAATTTAAGAACGTTTGCGGTTGAAAAGTTGAACAAACATGTATTTTATTCCATGGTACAATATTGGTATCGCGCCTCGGATCAACGTATCTAGAAGTTTTGTCACCTATTTTACGGTGTATTATTTTGGATCGGGTATTTCTGTTTGTACAAAACCCTCTTTAATTCCAGTTAGTTTTATCCCTCCGACCATTTAGTGAAAATTGAACTGAAAATTATGTGTTTTCATGAACTTTTATTCTGTGTGTCATCTCGTCAATCGTCCCCAAAACAAGTTTGAATCAGCCGTGCTCCGAGCAAAGTAGGCCGGGATGTGCATGGGATGAAAGCACCCCAACCAAATGTCCTGCTGTGCTGGCACGATTCTCACCATTCACGAGTCATTACCCCTTTAAATGAATCACTGACTGAGGACTGAACACAGAAATATTGCAGCCATTTTTTTCCCCCGTTTTTCCCCCCCCCCCCCCCCCCTTCCTGTTTAAACAAACAAGTGAAATCCCTTCTTCTCTCTCCTGCTGCCTCTCTCACACACTCAGGAGTACACCATGTCGGCTGTAAGTAACACACACACGCACACGATTCTCGCGTCAGTTCCGAGCCCCTCTCCTCTCGTTCCCCCTGAACCGGCCTCTGACCGTTGACCTCTAACCTCCCACAGTGACCTTTGACACCCCCCCCGCCCCGTCTGTGACTCCTCTTGTCTGTTTACAAACAAGGATGATACAAATATTCATTCAATTTTATCATGTATTTTCTCTCTCTGTGTGTTGTGTGTGTGTGTGTGTGTGTGTGTGTGTGTGCCCATGTTCGTGGTATACGTGTGTATGGGCTTCTCTTGCTTTCAGTGCTGCTGTAACTCTCCTCCCACTCCTCTGTAGCTGCCGCTCTGGTCCTGCTCTCCTGTGTTGTGTCTGAGTTTAGACGTCTTTAGATGTTCCAGTCTACTTCCCCGGTGCTTTCTTTCCTCCCCACCCTCTTCTTCTCCTCCTTTATTGCTGCTCCTCTTCTCTCTTCATTCCAACCGATACGTTTTCCTCAAGCTAGGCGGCTCTGTCTTTCTCTTGCTTCTCAGCCCTCATCCTTCCATCTTTGGATTCTTCCTCTTCTTATCTTCATCTTCACCTCACCTCTCCTCCCATCATTCACTTTCCCCCCTCTCCTTCTCACCCTCTCCTCTCACCTCATCCTCGTCTTTATCTTCATCTTCATCTTTGTCCTCGTCCTCTCCCTTCTTCTTTTTCTTTTCTCTATCATCTCCTCATCTCACCCTGTTCTATCCTCTTCTTTCTCACTCAATCTGTTCTTCTTCCTTCTCTCTCTCATCCTCTTCTCTTACCTCATCTTCATCCTCTCCCTTGTCCTTGTCCTTTTTCACTCCTCCCTCTCCTCTCTCTCTCATCTTTCCCCTCACCTTCTCGTCCTCTCCTCTCCTACTTTCCTTGTCCTCTACCTCATCCGCCCCCTCCTTTCCTGCTCGTCTCCTCCTCTCTGCTTCCTCCTCCCCTCCACCCCCCATGTTCCAGCGGAGGAGCAGTCAGTCAGCAGGTTGTTCCTTTGTGCTTGATCTAACCATGTGGCTGACAGGTTCCTATAGTGGAACATGGTTCTGTCAAGCACCATGGAACGGCCCTGTGAAACCCTACAGCATGGCCAAGACGCAAGAGACAGCAATCTCCTGTCCCCCCCCACCTGTGTGTGTGTGTGTGTGTGTGTGTGTGTGTGTGTGTGTGTGTGTGTGAGCATTTTCCTGCTAGGATCTAACTCTTGATGCCGTGGTTTCGAACACTAACAGCTGGTTTGGAGTCTGACAGGACTGAACTCCCATGTGTTTGTGTGGATGTGTGTGTGTGCGTGTAACATGTCCAGACAGTCTGTGTCTCGTGAGCTTGGCTCCTTTTAGGCTCCGTGATACAGATGCAGCATTTTGTAATGTTGCATCTGTAAGTAATGCACACGGGCATTGTTGCATCATAATCAGCGATGTTTGGTCCAATTTGAAATTCACCACTCCAAACAAAAGCAGCGCATGTCGAAATTCCTCCATCATATCACGACCTTCTCCCCGGCCGCCCACCCCGTTTCCGTTGGAACCGCTACCAGCAAGCGCTGGGGGTGTTTCCGACTCTGGCGGTGACGTTGTGCTTGTGATCGCGACCAGGTACTGAGGATTACCGCAGCAAGCTAGGAGGGGACTGCTTCGCCGACTTGGCCTGCCCGGAGAAGTGCCGCTGTGAGGGCACCACGGTCGACTGCTCCAACCAGAAACTCACCAAGATACCAGACCACGTCCCCCAGTACACCGCCGAGCTGTGAGTCGCTCTGTGTTTTTCTACTACAGAGTGTGTGTCCTTTATCTTCTCTTTGCTCCTCCTCGTCCGTCTCCGCTGTGTTGTTCTCTGTCTTTGTCTCTGACTGCCTTTCTTCTCCTGTCCCTTCCTAGGCGCCTGAACAACAATGAATTCACCGTGCTGGAGGCGACAGGGATCTTCAAAAAGTTGCCTCAGCTAAGGAAGATGTGAGTCAGATGTTGTAAACGTAACGGGTGGTTGGCAGAAACTCACAAGAGAAAAGCTATGATTGCACGAGATGAATCCATGAGATTTCATCCCTTTTATTTCCTCGCTCCCGCAGTAACCTGAGCAACAACCGCATCACCGACATAGAGGAGGGGTCGTTTGAGGGAGCCTCGGGGGTCAATGAGTTGATTCTCACCTCCAATAGGCTGGAGAACATTCACCACCTTATGCTGAAGGGACTCAGCGGCCTGCGCACACTGTGGGTACACACACGCAGTTACTCGAATGCATATTCAGATGCATTATCATATCTAATATGTGTGCCATATTCAAATACGCTCTACCGTGACAGTGTCCACAGAAGCATTTAAAACATGTGAGCGTACATAGCTCCCAGGTTTATATAATGATCTTTTTTTTTATTTTGTAAATTACACAGTATATTTCATCTTTTGTGCCTGTCCTTCCTGTGTGTGTGTGTGTGTGTGCGTGTGCGTGCATGTGTGTGTGTGTGTGTATGAGCAGCATGCTGAGGAGCAACCGTATCAGCTGTGTGAGCAACAGCAGCTTCGTGGGTTTGAGTTCAGTGCGTCTCCTGTCGCTCTACGACAACCAGATCACCTCCATGAACCCCGGAGCCTTCGACACACTGCACTCCCTGTCCACGCTGTGAGTACACACACACACACACACACACACACTCCTGGACACACACATTACTAATGCAAATGTACAACAACAAAAAAAACACACACACAAAAAAAAAAATATCCCCCAAAAAAATCTCCCCTCTTTTTTGTCCAGAAACCTTCTGGCCAATCCCTTCAACTGTAACTGTCACCTGGCTTGGCTCGGCGATTGGCTGAGGAGGAAACGCATCGTCACCGGCAACCCTCGCTGCCAGAGTCCGTATTTCTTGAAGGAGATCCCCATCCAGGACGTAGCTGTCCAGGACTTTGCCTGTGAAGATGGTGAGGCGGGGGCTATTATGCAACATCTGCAGCCATGACGAAATTGTGTCTATATTTTTCATCACCACGTTTCTATCCTCCCAACCACCCATCGCTTGTCAGGTAATGATGACAACAGCTGCTCCCCGGTGCTGAGGTGTCCGGCCGAGTGTTCCTGTCTGGACACCGTGGTGCGCTGCAGCAACAAGGGCCTCAGCACGCTGCCCAAAGGCCTCCCCAAAGAGACCACCGAACTGTGAGTGAGAGACCAGCACCTGGTCTAGTGCAATCCAACCGCTTTAACTGTCGCAGCGGTCCCATATTATACACCACTGCCTCACTGAGCCTCTTAATCAAAGACACTTTGTCACAGTCCTGTAAAAACCGTGGATCTCCAAAACATCAGCTTGAATTTAAAACAAGTCAGTTTAGAGCTTTGTGACGATAAAACAATGTGTTTTGTAGCTTGAGAAGTTTGAGCACTTTCTAAACACATAAACAGAAAGTTAGCTGGTTCGTCACTCTGGAAATTTTTCATTTTAAATCACCAAATTTTAGAGATGCATGTTTTTGTTTTTTTCCAACAGTGATGATTTGCATTCATGTAGATAATACAGCACACGTTGGATTATAAGGTAATCCAAATCTTTTGAAGGATTTCTAGAGGATTTGAAATTGCACAACTTGTCCGTCTCATGCAATAGAAGTGCGTCTAATTAAACAAATGTAACAACCAGCGTTAATTAACCCCACGTTTATTTTTCGACTCTAAAGAATTTGTAGTGTAATCACACAAATCTCCCACTGTCTTTCTGTACTCTAACTCTATCTATGGTGGTCAATAAACTAGTTAAGCTACAATAGGCAGGGCTGAATATTTTCACCCAGCTTGGTGAAGACAGGCAGTCCACCAGCACCCCGAGGAGCTGTGCAGTTGACAGGACAGCTGGCTCCTGGGACGGCAAAGGCCGCGATGGAGGTCGGACCTGGTGTGGGTCGCAGAGACGAAGTGTGTGGGACCGAAAAGGTTTCAGAAAAGTCAGAAAAGTGTGTGTTCCAGCTTGTGATTTATTTCCCTCGCGTTAAAGTCGTCAGCCTCAGAAAACCTCGAACTTTTGATACACTGTCCATCTGAAATCTTTTCTTTTCCTTAATCGAAGCTGTACTCATTAACATAAAAGAGACACAGGTACACATACTGAAGGCTCACAGACTTCTTTGCTTTCTCCTTAATCTTCTTAAGACTTAATTATCACGCCGGATTAATAGCACATAATCACAGAGCGAAGGACATATGATCTCAGTTGTGCATGTGGGTGGGAAAGAGAGAGGGGGAGGTCATACTGTGTTAGGATGCCTGTGGGGATATTAAACTCCAGAGTTTATTATCGCTGCAGTAGTAACGATCGCTCACACGGCTGGAGATGTGGAATCGCCCACATGGCTAACTAACTTGATTTCCTCTCTTTCTCTTTCCCAATCCTCCTTTATATCTTTCATATTCCGTTTCCAAACCTCCTCTGTCTCTCTGTTTGTCTCTGTTTGTTCTCTCAGGTATCTGGACGGTAACCACTTCACTCAGGTTCCCGCGGAGCTCTCCAATTACAAACACTTAACGCTCATGTAAGTCCCACCCACACCACCTCATTCTAAAGAAGAAGAGTTTCGCTCAGTCAAACACACACTAAAGACCAGAACTAACTGACTGTTATCGTACTTTGTGTTGTATCACTTTCAAGTGAATGAATTTGGCCGACACATGGTTTGTGTGTGTGTGTGTGTGTGTTACGCCTGAGTTGACAGTGCTGCCTGTGTGTGTTTCATGTATCTGCTATTGTTTCCTTTTCAGTGATTTGAGTAACAACCAGATCAGCACGTTGTCCAACCACAGCCTCAGTAACATGTCCGAGCTGCTTACTCTGTGAGTCTGGCTTTACATCAGTCCCTGTGTGTGTGTGTGTGTGTGTGTGTGTGTGTGTGTGTGTGTGTGTGT